CATTGCTAATGAACGTAAAAAACATGCCTACGGGTACCTTATTTTACCGGAAGAGCATTCAAAGTACATGTACGTCAAAATCAATGGCAGTAGGTTTTTTTCTGAGCAGATATCTTGTTTTAGATCAACCTCTAGGCTAAGGTTAAAAAAAAGAAGTCAAAAATGGTTGTTACACAACGTTCACCCCAGATGAACTCAACTTTCAGGGAAACACCATGGTGCGCCTTTCGTGATAAACCTCCCACGAGATGTAGTTTGATAGGCCAGATGGGACCCACGGATGTGACTCAAAGTACCAGGTCCGCGCACAAACACACCTTTCCGGAGCTAAGGTGGTCTACCCCCTCCCCCCCACACCTGACAGTTTGTCCAATGTGGTCATGTAAAAAGGTACCAGATGTGCTTGAATACTAGGAGTGGGGACTGGCATACAACAATCTTATCTTGATGGTCTTTATTTTCTATTTCAAATCCGGTTTCGGTTTCAAATCTACGGTAGTTAAGTCATGTATGTCTTATTTGATTACCTCGTTTTCAATAGATCTACAAGTTTTACGTCAGATTGAACGTCCGATCTCATTTTTGGAACTTTCGAACCAAAAGGTGCCCTCTACATAGAAAGATAACTGCCAACAAGTTCAGGACGTAGTATCGTACACTGTACTTGGATTTAACTCTTAATCAAAATAAATTTTTGTTTGAAGATATCCACTGTTCTTATCGGCAAAAGTACAAAAAATTGGGGTCGAAGACCAAAACGTTCTCCCCCCCCCCCCCCCAACTCATCAAAAACAAGTTTTTTAATTAGGTGATAGGCATACGTTGTTACATTCCATTTCTACCAGTATATTCTTACCCATATTGACAACCCCCCCACCAACACCTATGTCAAGGTAACAACAAGCATATAAGTAAATCTTGTTTTAATAGTATTTTACAATTCATAACTGCTAGAGGGGTCCACCACAATTCAAAGAGGATGAACTAAACAGAATGCCGCCGTCAAAAATCACAAGAAGAGCTTGTCGCTTGACTTGAAAATGGATGCCTTTCCACAGAGTTGTGACTGACATGTGATTGACATGTGATTGACATGTGAGTGACATGAGACTGACATGTGAGTGACATGAGACTGACATGTGACTGACATGTGACTGACATGTGACTGACATGTGATTGACATGTAATTGACTTGTAAGTGACACCTCTCGCACCAGAAGCAAGAGACTTTCTTTGACAGGATGAGAGAGGGCGCTCTTCTAACACAATGTACAACCACACCCACCTTCCGTACAACAACGATGGCTTCAATGTTATAGACAGGGTTCCTGCTCTTACTGTCAACATACATGTACATAAGTAAGTAAGACATGAACAACATCCAAGGAAAAATAGCTTTGATCGCCACAGAATTAAGAAATGCGTCAGGTTGCCGCCATGTCATACACACTCATTATTGAGGACATACAGGATCTCTGCCAAGTTGTACAGTTGGAAAGATCTGAGATTGAATTGTGCCCGAGGCTATCAGATCTTGGTGATTACGAAATGCGGCCTGCGCTTGGCAAAGAGCCCAGCGCTTAATCCAAAACCTCATTCCTCTTGCTTCCTGCTGGCCTTTTTAAGCAGAGAGCTCGTAGTCACAACAGGACATCTAGTCAAATTTGGTTCCCCATTCGTTCTCTCCCTTCTCCCCTCAACTCCTATAGTCAAGGCAATTCCTGTAATGACTCTTGATGGTTTCGGGGGGAAATCTTGATCTACGCTTCCGTCCGCTGTGGAAGCAAATCATTCCCCAAGCACCTGTGCTCTCGACACCTGATGCTGTTCATTTGGTTCGCTTGTCAAATTTATGGCTGGCCAATCGGGATGCGACGGAGATGTTTTGCAAACTTCATAACTACCAAGTTGTACATGTTCGACAGACATGCACAGTCCACTGCGAGTCACTGCCACTAAAGTTGAATGCGCGAGGTTCATTTGCTACTTTCAATTTATTACAATCTACCAACCATCTGATCAGAGAACAGATCAACTAGCAAGAGATTTTCTTATCAAAAGTGTTTGGACAGTTTTTAAACTGAGGCATGACACCCAACATTCAAGCAAGAGCACTCACAGCCTGCTCTACATAACAATTGCAAGTTTCTTCAACCAAACACCTAAGATACACATTGATTAGGAGGCCGACACGTGCTGATACATATTTTTGCAAACTTCAGCTCATTTCACAAGTAAACCAGAAGACTTTTATCCCTGCTTCGGACTAGTGTTCCAAGGTTGTACCAAATAAAATTAAACAGAATGGTTCCTAACAAAACAAGACTTCAGTTGAGTACATGAACAGTTGGATGTTGTCAAACAGTTAGGAGTGACAGCTTCAAGAGATTGACATCAAAAGATTGGTCTGCATCTTGACTTTGGGCATGATCCCTGGCTGCATGGCATATATGGGTTTATGACTTCTGACTAGCACCCCTTGAACAAAGATATTGACGAATTGGGGAACCGCCAACATAGGGCTGGATAGCTCAGTTGGTAGAGCACCGGAACGGTAATCCGGAGGTCGCAGGTTCAAGCCCCACTCCAGTCAATTTCTTTGTTCAATTTTTCAAAAATTGTTACAATTCACCTAGTCAGTTTCCCTTTGTGGTTCATTTGAAAATTTGAAATTTAAAGTCGTATCCTCTCTGAGTGATCCCCGTTTGCTATTTGCTATTTAAAAAAGATTGACTTTTCAAATTGATAATGTCTTGCCCAGTGTTGTAGTCGAGTCCATCACGAGTCCATCACAAGCCCATCACAAGTCCATCACAGGTCCATCACAAGTCCATCACAAGTCCATCACAAGTCCATCACAAGTCCATCACAAGTCCATCACAAGCCCATCACAAGCCCATCACAAGCCCATCACAAGCCCATCACAAGTCCATCACAAGTTCATCACAAGTCCATCACAAGTCCATCACAAGTCCATCACAAGTCCATCATAAGCCCATCACAAGTCCATCACAAGTCCATCACAAGTCCATCACAAGTCTATCCCAAGTCCATCACAAGTCCCTCTCAAGTCCAGTCATAAGCAACATGGGATGAACTGTAACAATGGAGTGTCTTTGTCAAAGCTGATGAATTGGGACTGGATGACTTGAGATGGACTTGTGAGGACTGGTCTTGTCTGAGACCAAAGCCTATATCAGTAAACCTGAGTTGGTCCAAAAAAGTTTGGATTGGCACGACTCTTGAATACCAGTCTGTACAGTTGTAACAATGCAACCAAAGGGACATACATGTAGTGGGGACGTCGAACTGACAAAGCTTTGTTATTATTCGAATGTGGATAATGTGATGTGATTTGATAACAGGATCCTAAAATAAAAGAAGTGATGAAATGTTTTTTCAGTAAAACAAGATTATGCCTCAAAGAGGCAGCTTCTGGACTTCATGGTCACCGTCCTGTCCTATTAGTCACCTGTCCTGCATTATGCTTACTTGAAGTGACACAAAAACATAAAACCATTCCAAATACTTTTTAATAAAAGTTACTGTTATTCACACACACACACAAAAGTGAAAACCCTGAAGTTTTAATTGTGAATGCCTTTGGCAATGACGTCGACTTTTTCCCAAGATGCACTGCATGTAAAGCAGGAATTGTGCCACCACAGCCGCTTTTTGGAACATTGAATCGCCATCATCAAAATCATGGTCCCGTTCGAAAACCATATTGATGGTCAATTAACTAATGTAAGCGTATGGACTCCGTGCCCAAGGTTTCAGACCAGTAAATAAACTGCCATAGACCTCAATGATAAATACCGCCACTTCTCAAGATCAAGAAAAATACTCACAACTCTCCCAGGTGTTTGGGATACCCATCAATTTAAAGCTTATTTCATCATCTTTCATTTTCTGTTCAATTGTTGGGGGGTAATCCAATGACTTTTGGGAGAAAATTCCATCCAAAGACAATAACCCTAAAAGTAGTCCTGAAGCCCATTGCCATTTTGAAAAATGATGCCTACGCTCCATTGCAAAACAGAGCAACATTAGGGCCCAATTTCATCTGAATCCTACAGAAATACAATAACGCAGTCCTGATCACCCCTTCCACCCTTCATTTTTAAAAACCCTGAACTTCATGGCCCACAAAATGTTCCAACAGCAAAACAATTGAGGGCACACAATTGGCCCGTGTAGACAATTTTGAGCCTATGGCCTGCACCTCCAAGTACCCCCCTCAGTGGTTACAAAGGGAGAGTTGGGGAAGACCACTGGGAGTGACATTTGAACACATTTCTGTCAACGCCTGATGCTTAAGCAAAGATGATATAGGTCTGTGCACATTCTGATTAAAATAATGCTGTGTGAAATAACAATAATTGAAAATAATACAATTCATAATTACAGGGAATGGTACCTTAGGGGACATTCCCATAGGGTTGCACACACAATTTTTCCAACTTTAATGGTCACTAACCCCAATTTCCCTTATCCTACCCCCACGAATTCTGGTATATTTACATTTTGGACCAGGAGCAATTGATCTAGCCTATTAGCGACAGCAAAATTTTGCCTATAACTAAGAGTTGCGACATTGAAATGTCTCCTTAATGTCCGGTGTCTCCCTAAGGTATAACTAAAGCCCGGTTCATACTCGGCACGAATGCGAATGCGAAGCGAATTTGACGTCAAGAAACGTTCGCTGCGAAATTCGCCAGAGTTGAAATGTGTTCAACTTTTACGAATTCGCAGCGCGAATACTTGCCATGACGTCACCAATTCGCGTTCGCTTTCGCACCGAGTATGAACTGGGCTTTATGAAGAAACATTTCTCCTCAAGGGTACATTAACAGCAGTTACAGCGTGCATTTTTGCAAGTAACAATGCGTGGCTAAGGACCGCGCCAGGTGAAAAAGTTTCAGATTATGTTGAGAGAACAGAGCAGTTTTCAATCTACCCTTAAAGTTGTCAAGAGAGGGCTCTGAATGCCAAGAAAATGTGCCATGTCCTGTTCATACATGGACTTCATAAGCTTCACATGTGATTTTTGGGGAGAGCTGCAATTTTTGGCTTTCCGTCCAAATCTGTGTGCAGGTTCTACAAGGCGGCTTACTTACCTCTGGATACAAGGGGTGATAGGCGACGTCAGAGACAACGTCAGTGTGACCTGAGAGTTTGTGGATATAGGTCCCCGTCCTGATATCAAATACGTAGGCCTGAAACAGGGAGGATAAGAATCAATCAAGTTTTGAAAACAGGTTCATGAATACTCTCTGAAACCAAATTGAAGTCCAAATCATACACTACATGTACGTACCGGTACGTTTTTAAAAACACAGGGGATTTTTGTGGGGTTTTTTTGGCTGCAAAGCCATGACATTTGATTTAAATTTGTATATTTTGGGGACTATGTACTGACTTTTCTTATTTTTTTCTTACTGACCAAAATACTGATAGTGCTGTTTAACATAACAGACGATATCAGCAAAATGTCTTTAAACCATCATTGAGGGGGTTCTAGTGTAATGAGTCCATTATGACATGTGCTTCATGGACATAAATGGGGGGGGGGGGGAGGGGGTGGAAGGATAAATTGGCCCCACTTTTTGAGGGGGGGGAGATGGGCCATTGGATCATCCCCCCCCCCCCCCCGCCCCGGATTTTTGTGGAGAGAAACAAAGAAATGCTTATTTTAGGATTTTTAGTCATCCCCCATTCCCCCACTCGCTGACACGGATTTATGCCATTGGTCTGCTTGCATATGTACTGTATCATGCAGCTCATTAAGTGATGAGTTTAAACATTGAAACATCAAACAAGTCAACAAAAAACTTAAAAATGGAACATAGTCACAGGTCCAACTAGAAGATTTGCCTGTCTCCATTTTATACAATCTCCTTCACAACAATCCAAATAGTTGGCCTTCAGTTCTCCATATCAATGACAAACCAACTGACTGCTACAAATTAACCTCTTAATTGCCATCTGCAGATGCAGAAAACATGATACTCCTGGAATTCTCTCCACGCCCTGCGAGTCTCAAGACACTCAAGCAGCTCTCACAAATTGAGGTCTGGCTTTTTTGCCTGATCCCATTTAAAATCAGATTTCAAATCTGATCCCATTTTTCTTTCGTGTCAGAAAAACGCCCCCAGGTGGTCATTCCTATAAATGTTTGCGACACACGAGGGACCATCAATATGGCTGGCAATAATTCGTAACATACTGGTCAGCCCATTTATTTGAGGGGCAACATTGCCTGCTTGATTGAGAAGTCGTGAGGAATGCTGCCCACCTGTTATCAAGCTGTTTACAGATAGGCAAATCATGGCCAAATCCTTTGTTCCTATTCAGTAAAATTATTCTGACTGTTTCAACTGTTGTAATTCACGGTAATTCCTTAATTTTAAGTTAAGGGATCACTGAGCGCTCTTAAGTTTCGAGGAAATGTCCCTGAGAATGTATTATCGCAAAACAAAAAGATGAAAAACGAGGCAACAAAATACAATTAACCACATTCCGTTTCACTGCCACATCACTTAAAAGAAAGGTCTTGTTGTCCCCTTTGATTTGGTACCACCTAGTGCTTGTAATTCTGAAGATTTCATAAATTTTCCACTTTCCAGTTGTGTCAATTTTTTGCTTGGAGTTTCCCCAATGCTTTCTGGAGTGAGACATGCTTAAAGGGAAGATACAATATTTGCAAACATCAAAAAACAAAATGATCGAAGTATCACGAAATACCTTACTGGATTGTTAGGGAATAACAGTCTAAAGCATGCTGTAAAGTTGTGGCTCCTGGTGTGCTGACAATTTCAAGAAAAACCAGTTTTCTCCAAGGCTGGTCGCCCTTTCAAAAGGTGCTGCTAATTTTTCATATTTAGTTTGTCTGCATTTTCTTGCAATTGATTACACACCTGTGAAGAGGTACAAACTTGCTAGACTGATTCTCTAATCTTACAATTCCCCAAAGTCTATAAATTGACTACAAGAATATGATTGGTTTTCTATAACATACTAATCCTCCAAATCCATTTATTTCTGAAAATTGCAGCAAAAGCAAATGTTGTACATTCCCTTTAACACCAGCCTGTGCAGGTAAGTGACAGCAAGGCAAGGTGTGCACACATGAGAAGCAGGTCGCAACAATGACCCCTACTTCTTGCGGCTACTGCCTCCAGGTGTTGTGATGCATGGCTGGAGTCAGCAAGCTTCCTCTCTGAATTAGCCAATGTTCCCTCCCCCCCCCCTCGGGCCTTGCCTCATGCAAACCGAGGAGTCACCAGGGAAAAACAAACTTGTGATTGATTCTGACGACAGTCACCTACTCACACCAAAAACCACAATTTCGATCGGGATACTATTTCTACAACCAGTTATCTTTTCCTATGCAGGGCGAGTCACAAAAAAAAGGAAACCCAAATGTCAGGACCATTTTTGTCATGAAGTTCTGCATGTAGCACTTTCAAAATCTAGGATATTAAAGCCCAATTAATAAAGCTTTCTTATAGTACAAGAATCATTCAAATCACTCACGTACTTTTCAAGTTGCGGAATTTTGAACACAAACACCGTTTCAAAGTTCTGTCCACGGATCACAAAAAAGGTAAGTGTTCTTTCAGCAAAACGAAAACAATTTACATGACATCCCTATTTTAGCAAATTGTATATCAGGTAAGTGTTTCTGTATATTCTTCCCAGGTTGTCAAGAATCACCCTCCTTCATATATATATTCTTGGTAATTTCAGAACCAGTAAAGTTAAAGGTGTATCTAGGATCGTTTGCATTTATCCCAAAAGTAACCTACCAAATTATTATCACAAAGCTTTAATACTTGGATTAAAGATCACAGGTACCAAACACCCCATAAAATTATTCCGTCTATTTTGCTGTCATAGAACAAATCAAGAAATGTAGGTGATTTCCAAAGTAAAAAATGACTGATTTTTGGAAACAACGCGTGCTAATCGCGCTTCGTGACCAAAAGGTTGTGCATGGTTTTTCACTGTTTTCTCAAAAAAGTGTGTAGTATCCATCGAGCTAAACTTCAACAGGTAAGGTTCTGAACATTCATCTCTGGACTTTGAGTTGTGTTATTATTGGAAACGAACAAAAGCATGAAAAGCAAATGAACCTACGCCTTTAAGAAAAGGGCAGCCTGAACAAAACTTCAAGACTTGACTATTATTTCTTTTCTTGAGTTCTCAGGAGATTGGCTTGAGTCACGCATGGGGGAAAGGAAGACTCCAGGACGCAACAATACTTCCTTTTTCATGAGTTGACTTCATTAAGATTGTCTAAAATACCCAACAGCGACACAAGGGCCGCTCCGGCGGAAAAGCTCGACCAATCAGCTCTGTCCCCTTTTTCGCAAGATGCGTGAATCATTTTGTTAATTTTTCTTTTCTTATACTAACATTAGTATGGAGAGTCATTTCCACATGGTGTGACGAAGACATGACTGTTTGGTTTGGAGGCGGAAATGGATGTGGGGGATTTTTTTTTTTTTGCGAGGAAATGGATTGAGAACTTGTGATGCTCCTGTTCCTCCAGCCTGCGGCAGATCCTAAGATTAGTGCCTATTCACAAACCTTGTACCACCTCATATCCCACAGTTTCGTTCAAGTCCTCATAAGTCATCCCAATTCAATCACCAGTCAGTCTAAAGTCGATCAATCACAAGCCAATCATCCAGTCAAGTCAAATGAACTTTGACAGCACACTCCTTTGTTATTCTAATTCACGCCCTGTTACTTGAGTTGGCAGTATAGATGGCACTTTAGGAAGAAAAAAAAAATGTTTGGGAAGAAAAGTCAACTCCAAACCATCAGCTTAGATGGCATCATTACAAGCAAGTAAGTCGGCAAGAAACCTTCGTGTAATCATGGACGACAATCTCACAATGACAAATCACATCAATGATATCTGCCTTGCGTCTTCTTTCGGTCTTTGTAAGACAGGAAAGATAAGACGCTTCCTGGATCAACAGACAACAGAAAAATTGATTCACGCCTTTGTATCGAGCCATATTGAATTGTAATAGCCTCCTGTGCGGATTGCCAGAATCATAACTAAACTTAACTCCGACGGAAACAGAACTCTGCAGCCAGGCTCATAACCAGAACGTGAAAGTACAAACCTACAGACCACTATCATGTTGCAGCCATTTGATTTTATTCCCATTCAAATCAATGTAACCAAAGCGAGGCTGGAGGGAAAATAGTCTGGTTCCTTTTTGCACAAAAAAAATCATCATTCAGTACTGTTACTGGATACAGGAAACATGGCTAAAATGGTGGAAGCATGATATAGGTCTATTGCCACAGTCTTACATCAATTACATTGGTTGCCGGTGAAATCCCGAATCATTTTCAAACTTTCAGTTCTCACCCATAAAGGCATCCATGGACTGGCCTCGAATTATCACCAGGTATTAATCACTGAATACCGTCCGTCAAGGAATCCTTGGGGAAGGGACGACATCATCGTACACAAACTAGCACCACACTTACAATATACTGGCATATTTTTTTTCCATTTTAACGGTAGATAAAATATAGGTCAGTAATTTTAAAAAATGTTTAAAAAATGCTGAAATATTTTTCAGGCTCATAAAAATGGGTAAAAATGTTCTACGTGATATCACCTCTTCAGGAAACTACAGAAAGTAAAAAAGTGCATGTGGAAGCTAATTATCTCTAATGCAATCTTGTGCCTAAAAAATTATATCACTCGTCAAGCCTATATTTTAGAGTCCTTTTAGGCAGTTTCAACAGTTAATTTATACATTAGCTACATTTCTCTCCTTTTTTCCCCACTTTTCCCCTTTAAGTTTTTGGGTGTGCCACTGACATTCACTCTGTTTTGATCCTATCAGCAGAAACACGTGATTTCAATGTAAACCCATTTTGAAAATGAAGACAATTGACAGTCATTTCCCTCTTCGCCCTCAAACTCAGGAAACCCACTTCGCGAGACATGAACCAAAAGAAAAAAACAAAAAGAGAATCATTTGAAAAACCTTTCAAGTAATAAACAAAAACATATGAGAAGGAACGGGCTTTGCAAATGCAGCAGTCCCAGGGGACGTCGGTAGAAAGATCTCATGACATCCGTGAAAGCTGCAATCCAGATTATCAAGCAAACTGATAAATTACAACCATCTGTGAACAACCGGGCGGAACAATTGAAATAAACAGCCGCAGGACTTGGAGT